ATGCACTGGTATGAATGTTCTCATTCGTTCATATCTAAACAACCTCATTCTTTAGACCCTCCATGAAGTGATGGTTGCTTCATTTCTCAGTCAAATGCTTGCAGCTCCTTAAGGGAGAGGTCAGATTGCCAAGAATTTAATGTGGAAAGATGAAACGACTATTCCATCTTTATTTTTCTTTCTTATCGTATCCTTTGCACTTCTCTTACTCCCTATCCTTAAACTATGGAGTAGCAGGTTGCCTCTTCTCTTCCCTCTCACACAGGTCCTGGCCACCCACAACACAACAACACACCACAGGAAAACTTAAGTACAAACGCTTGAATCTTTTACCTGGGTGAAGTTATCTGTCACAACGTCCTTTCGAAAAGATCCAATTACGACCCATTATATATTAAAAGTGCTAGGAACGGTGAGAAGAGATACTGAGATATCCCCTTATTTTTACTGGCAAGGAGTTATCTGTTTTTTTTATCTATGGGCCCAAATTTGTTGCGTGCAGCAGTGGTAGTGAATATCTCTGTGTCCTGGTCACTGAGTGAAGGGAAGCTTCTGTCGCAAGGTCATGACGTAGGAAAAAAAAAGGAGGCTGAAGTCAACCACATGCGATGCAACATAGATTATGCTAGCAGTCGAAGCAGCTCCCAAATGGTAGAAGAGCGTTACGCCAATGTGCTTAACTTATGTGATGTTTTGTCTGGTCAGCTTGCGATGTTTGTGTTGAGCAATTCAACTTTGCGGTACAGTAGGGTGCTTCAGTGTGGTGGGTGGGTCCCATGTGTGTGTGTGTGTGTGTGTCGTTGTTTGTGTGTGGGGTGTGTGTTTGTGTGTGTCTGATCGACCGTCATTGCAGAAATATACTACAGTTGAAGTATGAATGAACCTATCGGGCTGGAAGTCTGTGTTGTGTTGGGCCATAGTCAAGACTAACTGATCTGCTGCTACTCCCACAGGCAAAAACAACACTTCTACACACACAATAGCAACAGGCACACACACACTGGAGCCTCTTCAAATTGAATCGAATGAATATTCATTCCAAAACATAACACCTATAAGCAATTTACCAGCTCAGCACTCTTAGAGTAGCAGACGTGTGTGTGGCTACATTCCTAGCACCTATTATTGCTTACACACATGCATAGCTGGTGTTTCTACTTTAGTTTCCAACACTACAGAGAGGTGAGAAGCCACAAAGCATTCATTTGGATGCAAGCTGCTGTCCAGCTCTTGGCCCCGATGAGGTTGTGAAGCAGCCAAACTGAGACCTGGTTAGTGAAGGGGGGGGGGACGGAAGAAGGAAAGGTGTACACACAGACCACACTCTCATCACACACATACGGGGTGTAAGAACAAACGCTGCATCAGAGTTTTGACACCAAAACATAATGCAAATAGCTGCCATTTGGGACCGACACGTTTATACACACACTCCAGTGCACACACCCACACACATACTGTACCAGTGGGTGCTTTAGTGCCAGTTCACTCTCTCTCCCCCTCTCTTTCAATAATGCATGTTAGCTGGTACTGATGCCACTCTCCCCAGCTGAATACTATTAGGAAACCATCCCAGTCATCTAATTATAATACACACATATGCATGCACAGACAGACACACACCTAGACATAATTGTAAGCTAGCTCTACCCTTGTTGCAGCATTTTCGTTGGTGTCTCGCTACGCACACACACACACACACGCAAATTTTATGGCCCTAGTATCCGAGTGTGTTTCCTAACAGGCGTTGCAGCACGGTTAGGGCTTGTTAATACGTATCAACGACAACTGCTCCCCAAGGCTAAAAGCGCAAGCAGCCGCAACAGCAGCTGCAAAGCCAACTTTGACCGGGGTGAAAGAATTCTTTAAAAAATGTAAATGGCTTCTCAATCTATCTGGATAGATCTCTAACACACACGAGTAGACACGTGTGCGCTCTGAGGCACGAATGCACGCAAAGAGAAAAAAAGCACCTGTGCGCACAAGCAGAGTGTAGATAAGCACACACACACACACAATGAAAGGTGTAATAATAATGTATTGATCACGTTGGCTGTGTGACTCACAGGCAGTGAGGGAGGTGCAACTAATAAAAGCTTTTTCAGTGGAGGGCTTTCCATCATCTACATCTCACGGTATTTCTCCTTTATGCTGCATCATGCCTCAACCTGCTGAAAGGAAATCAGCAATAATCTGTTCTTTGCCAAAGCTCTGCTCTGCTGTGCATCTTACTTTGCTTTATCTGCAGAGTCACAATAATCTCCTCCGCTGTCATAAAAACGTACAAAAAAATGGTACAGCTCATCAACTGAACCCCCCCTTTCTTCTCACATCGAAAGCCAAGTTTGTACATGGGTGCTCATTCCAACATCATAAAACATATCATACTCTGGTGGTAATGGGTTGGGTTTAGGCTGTGCTAAATTCACAGTACAGCACTTCACAATGCTGCACACACAGCGCGAGTGCTTCATTTGCTGTGACACTGTGACAGTGTGCAGGTGCAAGTGTATAACAGATCTTTTCACCTGCTTGTGTCCATGAATTCAAACTACTGCTGCTGCCTGTGTAAATCTTGTGGCTGCATTAACAGCATCAAGCATGAGGGACCGTGTGTGTGTGCTTTTACAGCCTCATCCCATAAAATTCTTTTAAATAATGTCTTAAAATGCTAATAGTGTTCTCCGAGAAATAGGTTTCCCCCCATCGTGAGGATTAAGAAAATAACCAGCTTATTGAAGGCTTTTTCTGCTGTGACGTTCTCATGTTCTGCACAAGTTTGCATTTTTAAACTTAACCAAAACTTCACATTAACATAAGTTCTTTTACTTCCTCTGCAAAGTTTCCAAATTGTGTGGTCAGATGTTGGAGGAATGTAATCCGCAATTACTTGTGTCTACAGTGGGTAACACCTTCCACATTCATTTCCTGGATTTGGCTGACCGTGTTGACTTACGTGGGCGGGGTTGGGTGTGCAGCACCTGCTCCAGGTCACCCAGCATTGTAAGGATCACCTCTTTATCCAGCTGAGCCGTCCCCTCACGAGGTCCACCCCCTGAGACCTCCTCCTCCGCCCAATACCCGCCGTCCTTCTCCTTGCCTCCCCGCTTCCCGCCGCCCCTCCCTGATGCTGGCTCCTCATCTGAACGCCCGCTGCTGCCCTCTTCATCTGTACCCCCCTCCCCTCTGGACAGCCGCGCCGGCTCAGTCCGCGGGTGGCCGCTGTACGACGCCCGCTGTGGCCGCCCGCCTGCGCCTGTGCATCGCCAAGGGACCGGGATGAGGGAGTGTTCGGACTGAGAGAGCACCTTGGTAAGGGAGAGCGACAGGGATCGAGCCCTGGTGCCCCGCACACCTCCCCTTGGTACCACCTCCTTCCTAGGGCTTCCTTGCAGGCTGCCTCCTGCTCGCTGAGTGGGGGATGAGTATGCTGAAGAGTTCTGAGGCTGTGAAAGACGGGGTGGCGACTCATCAAGCTCAAAGGAGTAGACCCGCTGCTCACCATCGTTGAGCAGGGTCAGGTTGGTGAGCGAGCGCTGCTTGATCCGCAGGTTGAGGTTGTCTGGGAGAGGCTGGGGAGGCCGCCGAGCAGGGCTGCCCCCCTGATACACCGAGAACTCTGCTCCTCTCTTCATCTCTGCTCGCCGCTCCCTTTTTTTGGCTGTCGCCTCCGGTGGCTCAGCGCGTGAAACTATGCACACAAGTGAATCTACCTGTGTCTGTTTCACATCTTGGCTGCACTGTCACTGAGAGAGCAGATGGAGGGAAGGAGGAACCGGAGGACGGAGGAGGCAGAGAGATGCGTCCCCGCGTCCCACGCCTCCCGACAGTGGTCCAGGCTTCAGAGGGCTGGAGGGAAAGCGATGGCAGGAGGAAGAGCGGAGAGAAAACCTCCCTCTCAGGCATGCAGGTAGAATCCAGATCCATCCTCGAGCCAGCCCATACTCATGGTCAGATGTTGAGCAAGACACAAACACTCATTCCGCACTCCTTCTCCAGTCCTCATGCTTTCTTCTCTGTCTTCTTGGCTCCTTCCTCCACCACAGTCAGGGGCGTGGATGAACGAGTCGCTACATCTCCCTTCCCTCACCAACGCTTTCTGCCTCCTGCTATCGCACTCCCTTTATCTCTTCCCCCTATTAAATGACAGTCTCTTTTCATTCAGTCTTATCTCTCTCCCTCCACCTTCTGTCTCTCCTTTAATTACCACCTCACTGCCACACTCCTCCTGCCTCCCCTCTGACTCTCTGACGGTCTCTCTCTCCTCGCAGCGGAGAATGAGCGGGTGGTGAAGCCGGCGAACAGGCTCACGTAGCTCTCGGTCTGCTTGTTCATTCCATTCCAGCATGCAGCCTGCAGCACTCTCCCTCTCTCTCTCTCTCTCTTCTCTCTCTCTCTTAGCTCTCCTTCTCTGTGTTTATCACCCTCTCTTCCTTCTTAATCCCTCTCATTCTCTCACTTTCTGTTCACTTCCCTCCTCTTCCCTATCTTTCCTCCCTCACACTATCCTTCGCCCCTCTCTTTTCTGCTTTTCTATCTTCCCCTCGCAGTGTGACAGTGAGTTGTTTGGACAGTGCACCTGTAATTTGCAGCCCCTGCTGCACCTCGCTGGTCGCCCGACTTAATTAAATGCTATCTTGAGGAGCTAAAATAGCGAGCCCGCAGCTTATCGTGGATCAACAATGAGACCACAGAGCCAACGTATACCCATCAATCAATGCAAGCTTTATTAGCCCTGTCGTTATGAGTCACAGTTGTCTTCCACACATTTTTAAACCCTGGTTACCAGTAGAGAGTAAGGACTGGGAGCAGTTGCCTCCCTTCAAGGTTGATCACAATTTGTTATGCTATTGATAAAAAATGAACAGATAAACTTTCTGTGTCTACAAATTATTTCACAAAACGCTTAAATCAACATGTGGATAAAAATCTTTTATAGCTGCTTTGATATTGGATGTTGTCACTACTGACATTGTTTCAGCCTCTATATGTAAAAAGAGCAGGCTTGTCATGTGGTATCTGCGGTGTGCATGCACTTGAATTTCCTTCTCAGAGGCTCATCATCTCTATACAGAGAGAGAGGCGGAATAAACTGAAGGATGTGAAACGACCATGGAACGTGTGACAACAAAAAGCAAGTGTTTGAAATGGACCCCAAACAAAGGGAACGGTCAGCGCTGCAGTCTAATTTTATCCTTCAAATGACGGGCTTGCGAAAAGCCGCTGCCGGAGCAAAATGTCTGGAATGCCACTGCCACTGCCGACCTGACAAACCAAACCTGTAATCACACGCTGTTGTTTGTGCACGCTGCGCTTTATAGGCGCTTTGAACTTGACATCCTATTTTACATTGAGTTAGCTGTTTGTTTGATTTATCATCCAAGTTGACCTCTTTTAATTTGGTTATTACAAGGATGCAGTTTCATTTGAAGATATGACATCCAGCATTTTCTGCTAAAAATGTAAAATCCATGTTTTTTACAGAAATGTTGATCCTCAGTACACCACTGACAAAAGTATTGTGCTTAAAACAGATGACACAATACAGTCGATACTGACCGATGGAATGTGAGGAGTTGTGACAGTGAAGTCTTCATTTGCAACTGGCAGAAACCAGCTGAAACAATGGAATTTCTCATTGCCAGCGGTTTGTGTTTTGATGGTGTGTTGCCTGGTTTAACCTCTCATCCTGCTCCTTGTCAGGAATTTGTGGTTAGAAACTCCTTCAAAATGGTCAAAAGTCCCTCGATCCTGACCTCTCAGCAGCAGAAGCTCGATTGCACAGATGTCCGCCGAATGTAATTAAAGGACAATAAAAGACGTTTGCAGTCTTCGCTCTTTGCAAACAAGCAGTACAATTTAATATTAACCAGCTGTTTTCGGTTGTATTGGTGTTATGACCATCATAGTGGAATAGGATCATGAACTGAAATATACCAAATAAAGTGATATCCTCAAAACCACTACCTTTACTAAATCAATGTATTTGTCATTTTAAAGCTTGAAACTCTTGTACCCAGTTTATGTATGAAGTCCATCCATTCTTCCATCTGGATAGGGCTCAAATATCTGAACTAATGGCACAGTATGGATAAAACATCCATCAAATGCCAAATAACACTTTGCAAAAGACGTCACTCTGCTGAGGAGCAAGGCTGTACATACACATAAAAGATATGTTGATATGTCATACGGCTGGTCGTGATGCAGCACTGGGATTGTAACAGATGATGGCAGCCTGTGGGGATGTAAACAAAGAGCCGCAGATGCTCCCTGTGTCCGGCTGTCAGCGCTGACCTTTTCCCTCCACTACGTGAAACCAGCGAGGAACAGGGATCCCCCCAGTAAACACACCCAACGTCACCACACACACTGATGGAACACATACACCGACTGCTCGACACCAGTGCATAGTGCTATCCACAGCAATAGCCTTCAAAAGCTCTTTCATCTTGCAGCTACCCTTTAACTATCCTCCAATAACACTCCAACAGAGCAAGAGCTAAAGAAATTGTTCTATTTCCTAAAGAAAGTGAATGCATCACGTGAACAACCTGTAGAGCAGGAAAGTGAGGTCAACAAATGAAGGTTAAATCTTGTATGACCAATATTACAAGAGACAATGCATAGAGGCTTATGCACATTCACACACACACACACACACACACATATATCATATATGCAGAGCGCACAGCATGTGTGTTGACCTGCTGTACCTGATATCTCCTCCAGGCACTGTTTGGCTGTCTTGCTGTAGACCAGCTCTCCCTTGGTGGGGCTGAGGCAGGGGTCGGCTGGGGCCACCATGGTGCAGTCATTTTCTGAGAATGTCCTGGAGGCACAAAGAGCAAAATAATACACTGCGGTTATGAAGATAGGCTGAGATATCTGGCAAACTCAAGCTCAACTACAGCCACTCCAGTCATTTCAAAACAGCCACGGGGAAAGGGTTTTTACTGGAACTCCCCCACCATGGTTAACGCTGCTCCGGAGTCATGTTCATTTATTCAGTGAAACAATGCGATGAGATGATTTAGGTTTAGGTTTTAGGTTAATATGGCATAAAAAGTACAATCACATTAAAAATGTAGTATCACATAAACACATGGGGAGTGGTTAGAAGGGTACAGTGCTGATAGTTGGAATTTAAGGGTTTGAAATAGCAGTAATGGAGAGATTTAATTGAGTTTTATTTGGAGCAACAGTCAGAATGTCTGTTGTCTTTGTTCCTGCAGTGTTAAACAAGAAAACAGTTTCAATTTCAGTCAGTTTTTGGTCTCCATACATATTCAACAGATGGACACCTCTAAAGGGAGGAGGGGACGGTCTCAGCTGAGATGTTTTCTGAGTGTGTCTGTGTGCGTGAAATATGTGCTTGTGTGCATCTGCCTCTCCTCCTCAACCCTGAGCTGCATCACGCTCCACTGTTTGTTTGCTGATCTGAAGAAAACAAGGATAAAGTCCAACACACTTCATGAGATAACAGCCCTACAAACACACACACACAGACACACAGCGAACGACAAGAAAAAAACAAAACCACACATGTAAAACAGACAGCAACATAGACAAACACACAGAGAGACACAGTGACAGATGATACACATACAAACACAATCAAATGCACACACAGACACACACACAAACGATGAAAAGCATGCAAACTAACGGTTTCAACCACATGCACATGAAAATCCGAAAATACACACAGCAAATCTTGCACACAAACACACAGAGATCTAAGCACAAGCTACTGTATAGTATTCATGCCCTCCCACACACACACACACACATTGGGGACCACCACCACCACCTGCAGAGCTGCAGATAAAAATTGGCTTCCATTTGCGACAGCAGCATCAGCCTGTGACTTCAGCTCTTTTTTTTTCCTTCCTGCAAGCTTCCCTCACCTCAGTGGATTCACAGACACAGAGATATTCACTACCACTGCTGCACGCAACAATTTGGGCCCATAATAAGAAAACAGATAACTGCTGCAGTAACAAATGAATATTTATTCTGCTACTTTTAAAGTGAAGACTAACTTCACCAGTAAGATTCAGGTTTGTTCTTAATGGTTTCCTGTGTGTGTGTGTGTTGGGGGGCGGGGGGGCACTCTAACTGCAGTAAAGTCCTGCAATCTAAATGAGTGTTTAAACATGGCAGAGGCAACAACTTGAAGTAGGTGTAGAACGAGAAACTGAACAAGACAAAGATGCCTAATTGGGCTGAAAATGATGGTAAATTGCATCACAGCAGGAGGCCTTTACACTTACTGTGTGCATGCTGACGGCTGTGGGTGAGGCCTGCTGGTGAGGAAGAACATTTATAGCAAGAGAAGGGGAGGATGAAGATGGAGGCTACAGAAATGTGCTCATATGAAATTTCTTTCTTTTTGAAGTTTCGTCTGCAGTCATCGATTTTTCCTTTGTGTGTTTGGCTATAGTAACCGTTTAGCAGAAACCCGAAAAAACTTCTTCACACATAAGTGAGTGAAAGACCAAGACCTTTGCATTAGCTCCGCCTACCCTCTCTGGAGCACCAACCACTGTTGGGCGATGGAAAACACAACCTAATTGTGCGCCTCTGGTGAATTTTTGGAAATGTCACCATAGACACCTAGTAGGTAATAGTTCAAGGACTTTGATCAGTGGGCCATAGGCTCAATCACCATTGTGATTGTAATTCAGCGATAGATAGTAACTTAACAGACAATTATTTAAATGAAAATCTTTGAGATTGTTACTTCAAATGCATTATTATTTAATGTGTGAAAATGACTCAGGCACACCAGCTTTTCAAAAAGCAATATTCTGAGACAAAATCAGCAAGGATACCCTCGTGGGGGTGAAGTAAATCAGCACAAACTTTTCGCAGCCACGACTTTGGTGAACTTTGACATGTGTTAGCCATCTTACTAGCTCAGAGAGGTTTAACCCCTTCAGGGACTCTTTATTGACTGATATGATCAGCCCAACTCTGCTGGCCAACTCATGTCAGATACTTCAGAGTTTGAAATATCAACAGTCAGAGATTGTTGTTAATATTTGGTCTCTAATGGCCACTAGAAACTCAAACTGTACTGAAGTGAGTAAGAAAATCAGTGAGAGGTATTTTGGGAGCAGCTGTAGTGGTTGCTGCTTGTTACAGCCAAATTGGGAATTTGTAACCCCAATCACTGACACAAATGGCAGCAAGTGGTAAACTCAAGCCCAGGCTTTGAAATGTTCCTTCAGAAACCTGTGGCTGACATCACAGATGGTACCATTTTTGCACTCAATGTTTTTTCGTTTACTTTTTGCTCATTGAGTGGGCTGTGTGTGCTTTTACAGTTTCAGTTTCTATCTGTCACTATCTGCCCAGGACTGATAGCCGCAGTAGTTCTAACTTGCTAAATGTGTGGGATTAAAGCAATGCTAATGCTCGAAAGAGGCACCGCCGAATGTGGCAGAGCTGACTGTGCACAACGGAGGAGGAAGACGAGAGAGGGAGAGAAGGGTTGAAGGATTAAGTCTTGTTTAATGGGATTCCTAACTCTCTTTCTCTCCGAGCACAAAGGCATCCCAGAGACTTTGGCGGCTCCTCCATTTTTTTCCCCCTGGATTACCTCTGCCGTTGTAAGAGAAAATCGGCCCTGCTGGGCAGATTTACCCACTTCCTGCACCTCTGATGGCTGTAACGTCAGGGAACCACACACCAGCTGCATGCATCACAACACCGGTTGAATGACGGAGAGGGGAAAGGGTTCTTGAACGCTGCCAATGTCTGGATTCTCACATCAAAGATGAAACCCAGACAGTTAAATAATAGGCTTTGGCAAGCGGCAGGCACTGGATGTTAATTTGTTCTGTAATGACTGTGAAGAGATGTGGAGGCGTGAGCAAGATGCACAGTGGGGAGAGCCAGCTGATCACTGGGAATGCTCCAGGATTTCATGGGGTGTGTGTGAGTGAATATAGTGTGTGTCTGTATTTGTGGAGGTATGACTTTGAGAAAAGGGTCGATATTGACCTCACCTGTACATGAAGGGGGCCACAGTGGCAGTATTGGGGTGGTTGTGCTGCTGCTGCTGAGGAAGCTGAACTACTCCATTCCCTCCCAGCGCTGCTCCTCCTCCTCCTCCTCCTCCTCCACCCCCTCCACCTCCTCCCAGCATCCCACTGGACCCAGACAGGGCTGATGTGCTGGTAGAGGAGGTCATGCTGGTCCTTTTGCCCTCTGGGCCCCCAGTGGAGCGCTGTATGTAGAAACTCCCACCCTGCCCTCCTTTTGTCAGCTTGGCCCTCTCCACCTCTCCGCCCCGCATGTTGCCGCTGCTGTTTAAGGCGGCCTGGCTTTGGCTCTGTGACTGACTCTGAGGCTTGGATGTTGTGGTGGAGGGAGCTTTAAGTCCTGGCTTAGGGATGCCGCTGGAGGCGCCACCATCTTTCTTTCCAGATGATGGCTTCCCTCCCTTGGGGATGAGGCTGGCAATTTTGGAGGTCTTCTTGGTGGGGTCAGCAAATGACTCACGCTCCTCTTTGGGTGCAGAGCTGTCCTTAAAAGATTTCCCAGACTTGGTTTTGTCCTCCTTGTCTTTGGACACAGACCTGCTGCCATTGGCAGACGCTTTTGAATATGAAGAGGATGGGGAGGAAGAAGAAGAAGTCTTGCTTGGTGCAGTGAGGGACGATCCAGAGGTTTTAGTAGACATTTGCTTGGCTGTGGCACTGCTACTGCCGCTGCTGCACACCGACCCCGTGGGCGTCAATCCATCCTCACCGTACTCTGACAGGTCATCCTCCTCCTGCAGAGCCATGTCTGCCACAGACGGCGACGCCCGTGAAGCTGATCTAGGGTTAATCAGCCGGAACTTCTCCAGCATGGACCTCTGAGGTCCACCACTGCCGGCTGATCCCATTTTTGACCCATCGCTTCCATGTGGCAGAAGGCCCTCAGGGCCCTGGGGTGAATGAGTGGGGGAGGGCGAGTGCGCGGGGCTTGCCAGCATTGACGAAGTGGCACTGTGCTTGAGGTTCATGGACTTGCTGCGCCAGGACTTGCCGGTGGTGGGTGAGGGGATGGCAGAGGCCAGCTGCTGCCCGCTGAGGCTGGTGGGGACTGTCCCACCAATACCGCTCCCATTCATCCCACCAGGTGCTGGGATACCCCTCACCGCTTCTGAACCAGGGAAGAAAAGAAAAAGAAAAGATGACTGTTAAAAGTGCTTATTTTGTCAGTTAAAAACATTTAATACAAAGCAGTTACATTTCCAAATCATATTTTTAATTCAAATAACTGAGTCACTCATGGATGACTTCTAATTTTGGAACACTTTTACGTAGTAGCAGTATTCACCGTAGAGATTTTGACCCAGGTAAGGACTTTATAAGCAAAACAAAATTTGGAGGGAAACAGTCAAGTTGTGAATGTGGCAAACTTACAGTTTTACTGGATTTATTTGATATGAAAAACAACATTTTCTTAAGTCACAGCTGAATCCTTCCTCTAAGGTTTTACAAACATTCAGCTTGGGGTACTGAGTTGGGTTTTGAGTGTTGTGTACAGTAAAAAAAAATTTGAGAGCTATTCCCAATTGGCAGAACTTCAGCAGCAGGTTGGGTTAAAAGAAAAGATTTCGCTGTTATTGTTACACCGATGTCTCGAAGGAGTTTGCCCTCAAGTGTGCTGTACCTTCCTGCTCAGACTTCCACTTCCTGATTTACACTTCTATACAGGCCTGTCACAGCATGTTTGCAGGTGGATAACAATGGTTACAAGGGACAGGCCACCATTTGTAGCCGTGACAACAAAAGAGATCACACCTGCTATGTTAACATGGAAGGAAAGGAAACCATCCACCACCTCATTTACCGTTCAACATCACCCATCTTTGATGATCAATGTGTTTGGAGTTTGATGAGTTATATTTAATTTACTCTATTGGTGAAGTAAGTTTCCCTGAACCTAACTATTTTTGACATTACTGATTTTCTGCCTTTCCTAGAATTATTCTGTGGATTGTATTGAATTCATTGGTGTTATACATGTAGATAAGGAGTGTAGTAGGAAGAAGAAAGTGAGCTTTTCCACTTGAAAAAAAGTGAGCAGCGCAACCTCAACTCAGAAAATGTCTTCCATATTGAGGCTGCAGTGGGTGTAGAAATTGGTGTCTGCCTCTGATCCAGGGATTTCTCCCAGTATGATTGCTCAACATTGGTAGAAAATGGCAGCTCTAGAAGAAAGCCCTTGCACTTTGAGGGATTCACATCAAAAGCAAAATTGCTGAAACATAGCTGCTAGAAATATCTGGTCACCATGTCATCTCTGTTATCTACACATATAAAAACATTTCCAGGGTATATTACACTGAGTGCCACTGACCTATGGGAATAAGTCATACACTACACTGCACTAACATACAGTATAGAGAATGTAAAATTTAACATTTAACTACTCACAAATAATCGTGTAATCAATGCCACATAAGGGGATAGAAAGGCTAGTATTAATTAGATAATAATTTCTTATTAATTGTGTAAATATCTGTCTACATAAAGTTTGTATCATATTTTATTATTTTTATCACATTTTTTGGCATTCATTCCATTACAGGCCTGAATGCCGAGCTATAATGCATTACAAA